TTGAGTTCTTTTTTAATATTATTTCAATGATTTAGCAAGAAAATATTTTTCTTTGTAATCTTGGTCGAGTACTTAGGTAATCATGATTGTGCATGTCTCAAGTGGTCACGAGGACGCCGAAGAGCTCATCTAACTGCTCGCTTTGCTCTTGTTTGCCTTGACTTTTGGTAAGTGTCAAGTGCATGATTTGTTGCATAATATTTGAACTACTTTTTGTTGAATATGTGAATTAGACTTGTCGAAACGAATATGTACTTTATCGCACTCGTTCTCTCTTGCTCGACTTGATAATTGATTTGCTTGTACTCGATAATCATACTCGTGCTTGTGCATGACTCGGTATCGATTTGAGAGAAATCTCATCAACTTATACTTGTACTTGTGGGGACGCCCAAATCCCATTGGCTAACCTTGTAAGTCGAGCCGGCATGAGTTTGGTCGAGAAGTTTGATGAATTGTGGGAAATCATAAAACCTGATCTTTTGAGATCTTGTTTGGTATACTCGAATAGTATCGCCATTTCGTGCGTGTTTGGTTCCGGATCCGAGAGGTTGAAATGGTGGATGGAGGAAGTAAGTGGGATTCTACAAACTTGTGTATTTACTCGGTTGACGGAGTGTCACCACTTGGAAGTATTGGATCAAGCCTTGGCAAAGCAATGAGGATTTAGCTCCTGAGAGCTCTCGTATCCTTTATTAAATGTGTTTTCCTTTCTTCTGTGAGTTACCTGAATATTATGATTGCCTTCTTGTATAAAATTTGTGGCAGAAACAATTCAATGAAAGTTGTGGCGGCCCCACTTTCTCCTAAGGTGAACCAAAGGGTTGGCGGGTCGCTTGCCTAACTCTCGCCAGGGCTCACTCACTCTAGCAACTAATTTCACCAAATATAAATCGAAAATAAACCTTACTTCTCGAGCTAGCTAAGTACTTAAATAAATCATACAATTCAACTTATACAGCCCAAAAATACAATTCTAAGTACCCATGAAAATATCGAGTTTAAAATACTTAATTTACAATTTACAGATCCTAATCCAAGGCACAGAAGCACCATAGGATTCACATTTTTCTAAAGGTACAAAAAAAATCATCTAAAAGATATTAAAGTATCTCTCAAAGTACAATTACAAAAGTGGGCATTCAAAATATAACATTTCTTTTCTAGTTCTCCAAGACTTCATGCATTTCAGAACCTGTCAAGGAAAACAAATTGGAAGGGATGAGCCAATAGCTCAGTGGTGCCTCGTAACATGTAATTCACATAAGGCAATTTAACAAGTATGTAAGGCCCAAAACAACCAATGCAAAGATCATAAACGAAGCAATAAGTAAATAAAAAGGAAAGGATTGCAAACCAATTAACTACCCAACTCCTCTTGAGCTTGTAGATTAATTGAAACAAACTACTTCAAATTGATGAATTACAATCACTCTTGTGTATAAAGGAAGGTTCACCTCCTCCTTGCCCCAAGCAGCACTCGGTCAAGCCAGGACGTTTTACTATCCCTCAGGACAACCCTCACAGAGCTACACTCATGAAAGATTCACTCAAAAATAAAAAGTTTACAATGAACCTCACACCACTAAAACTACAAATATTCTTTTTGGAGTATTTTCTAACTAAAATCTCTCTAGATCTTTTGTATCTTCAGTGTGCCAAAGTTATTTGAAGTGTCTGACCAACAACTATTTATATAGGATCAAGAAAGAGCCTCATTAAAGCTTCCAACGGATAGAAAGTAGCTGAAGAGTCAACTAGCCGTTGGTAGTGTCGGACGTCCGATAGCCCTGTTTTATGCGTCCGACAGCAGGCAGTGAGTTTCAGAGATTTTCTTCAATTCTTTCGGACGTCCGGTGCAAGCTCTTTATGCGTCCGACAACAAACAAACAGATTTGAGAAATTATCTTGTTTCTATCGGACGTCCGGTAGAGACATATTCAGCGTCCGAAGTTGTGCAATGATTATCGGACGTCCGATCCTAACATCTTGAGCGTCCGACAGTTTCAGCATACTTTGTCATCTTTCAATTGTACTTAATCATGGAATCAAATAACTTCATAACTGAAAATATATCTTGAAAAAATATTAGTATCATCCATTTGTTTTGTAAACATCAAAAGATAGGGATCAAGATCAACAATCTCCCCCTTTTTGATGATGACAAAACAATGGATGGAAAGAAACAAAAATAAGTATAAGCTCCCCCTCAATCATTGCAACCAAAACTTTTAAGAGCCAAACTCATAATCTCAGAATAACTCCCCCTTACACATAGCATCCATTTCTCCCCCTTTTTGTCATCATAAGAGTAAAAATCAACTACTATAATCCAGCAACAATAACAAAGAATTCAATATTTCAAGAAAAAATAGAGAAATGACAGCAATCACAGCAAATCATCATGAGATCAGCATTATTCTTTTATCTCTCTTTTTGACATCATATAGATTCAGTAGTATTCAAAGATATCAGCGAAAACTCAGATCAAAGTATCAAAAGAAAAAATATTCTGAACAAGAATCACTGCAATGATTAGACAAAACCACCTACTTGTTAAAATTAGCATCATGTCTTACTATCCACATGCATTTCATGCCTTTTTTTATATTCTTTCTCACATAACAATCACTTTTCATGTGACCTTTTTGACAACAGAAATTACACATAATCAGGGAATTATTTATATAAACAGGTTTAATAAATCTTGCTTGTCTTCTCCTATGGATAGCAAACTCATTTGCAGCAGAATTTATCTTAAAATGAGTTTTTGATTTATTACTTTGAAAACATTCCTGTTTTATATGTTGAAGCAACTCATTTAAATCATCCATTCTTCTTTTCAAATCATCTTGTTCCCTTTTGAACATTTCACAAAAACTTGTTTTTCTATCAAGATCCAAGTGTAAAGCAGTCTCACTTTTTTTGAAATAATTATTTTCAGCTTTCAACTTTTTGTTTTGTTGAAAAAGATTTGCATTATCTCGAAGCAAAAAACTAATTTTCTGTTTTAACTCCTTGTTTCTAACATAAGATTCTTTCAAACTATCATGCAATTTTATAATGAAAGATTCAAGATCATCATCATCTTCATCATCACTTTCAAATTGAGAGTTAGAAGATGTTACCTCATCATCTCCAATGGCCATGAAAGCCAATTGAGCAGATTGATCTTCCTCTTCAATTTCACCATCGGAATTGCATTCATTCCATGTGAATTGAAATTTGTTTATTCTTGGTTTTCTTCCTTCTTTCTTCTTCATCACTGGACAGTCACTTGCATAGTGTCCAGGTTGGCCGCATTCAAAGCACTGATCAGTTTGGTTTTTGTTGAACTGATTTGGGAATGAATTGCTAGGTCCACCATTTCTGAATCTCCTCTTGTTGAGTATTCGTTTGAAACTTTTTGTGATGAGAGCGATATCATTGTCATCACCTTCCACATCTTCTTCATCTAGGGAGGCAGAATCATCTTCATCTTGTAAGACTTTTAGAGCAATATTCTTTCGCACTTTTGCATCCTCTTCCTCTTGCACCTTAGTCTTAAGTTTCAGCTCATAAGAGGTAAAAGAATTAATAAGAGATTCAATAGGCATAGTATTCAAATCTCTAGCCTCCTCAATAGCAGTCACTTTATTTTCCCAATCATTGGACAAGGCATTCAGGATTTTTCTATTTTTCTCACCAAGAGAATATTCTTTTTCCAACATCTCTAAATCTCTAATGAGATCATTGAATCTACAATACATTTGATCAACATTTTCATGAGGTTCCATCTTGAAAGATTCATACTTTGTAAATAGAATGGACTTCTTTTGTTCTCTAACATTCTCACTACCTTCATGAATTTCTTTCAGTTTGTCCCAAATTTCTTTAGCTGACTTGCAACCCTTGACTCTAATAGATTCATTTGAGTCTAATGCACAATATAATACATTCATGGCTTTTGCATTTAAGGTGAGATGAGCTCTATCCACAGCAGGTGAGATGAGCTCTATCCACAGCAGTCAGTTCACTTCTTGTTTTCGGTCTAGATGCATGAGTATTTTCATCTATAAGAGAGCATCATATGGACCTTCACTAATAATAAACCACAATTCGATATCAATAGATTGCAAAAAGATAATCATTCTTTCTTTCCAACTCATATAATTTGACCCATTAAACACAGGTGGTCTAATAACAGAATGTCCTTCAAAAAACATAGCATTATTGGTTGTCATCTTTACTCCAAAGCCGATTGAGCTTAATCTCTAGGAGACCAAGCTCTGATACCAATTGTAAGGCCCAAAACAACCAATGCAAAGATCATAAACGAAACAATAAGTAAATAAAAAGGAAAGGATTGCAAACCAATTAACTACCCAACTCCTCTTGAGCTTGTAGATTAATTGAAACAAGCTACTTCAAGTTGATGAATTACAATCACTCTTGTGTACAAAGGAAGGTTCACCTCCTCCTTGCCCCAAGCAGCACTCGGTCAAGCCAGGACGTTTTACTATCCCTCAGGACAACCCTCACAGAGCTACACTCATGAAAGATTCACTCACAAATGAAAAGCTTACAATGAACCTCACACCACTAAGACTACAAATATTCTTTTTGGAGTATTTTCTCACTAAAATCTCTCTAGATCTTTTGTATCTTCAGTGTGCCAAAGTTATTTGAAGTGTCTGACTAACCACTATTTATATAGGACCAAGAAAGTGCCTCATTAATGCTTCCAACGGATAGAAAGTAGCTGAACAGTCAACTAGCTGTTGGTAGTGTCGGACGTCCGATAGCCCTGTTTTATGCGTCCGACAGCAGGTAGTGAGTTTCAGAGATTTTCTTTAATTCTTTCGGACGTCCGGTGCAAGCTCTTTGTGCGTCCGACAGCAAACAAACAGATTTGAGAAATTATCTTGTTTCTATCGGACGTCCGGTAGAGACATATTCAGTGTCCGATAGTTGTGGGTCATATTCAAATTGATTTTCATTTTCTATAACATCACTTTCAGTCTTTTGGGAATTAATGGATATGCTAATTTCAATCACATTACAGTATGCTTCATGTGCTACTAGTTTTCTATAAACATGATTGTAGTAGTTAATTGGTTCTTTTTATTCATAACCATTTGTCAGCATGAGAATTCCTTGTCCACATCCCGGACGTATTTGGTTGGAGCAGAGAGGCTTGCAACGAGCTCTTTATTGGCACATAGAAGCTCGGGTTGTGTTGGATCTCCAAGAGTTTCAAACTTCAGTGAGCATCTTGAACAGTATGATGGTGTCTGTTTTAGATGTCCAGTTAAAGATTCAGAAAGTTGTGCTAAGAACAGACGGAAACTAGCTCTGAAAACTCTCTCCAATCATAGATTTGCCTTACGTTACTTGATATGCCCATAACTGTATTTGTCAGGCTGCTATTTGAGCTGCAAATTGCTTTTGCGTCTGTTACATAGAAACTTTCTTCAAGTGAACAACATTTAACTATTGAACTTTGATAAGGATATGAGTAGGGTAAGGGCGAATATATACATCAACGCTTTAAGGTAACTGGTGCAGTTCTTTGAGCATGGTGCCTGAGGGATCTTGAAAAACATTTTGCCCATTCAAGGAGCTCCATGATATTAATTATGATGTATTAGATTATAGAGCTGTCCTATCCTTCTACAGTCCGTCATTTTGTTACTGATATTGTGCAGGAGAAATTCTAATAACAAAAGAGTTACTATCATATCCATCTTCGTTTCCTGACAAGCAATGCTGCTAAGAAACTAGATTCGTTTAGACCTTCCCTTAGTTGAGAAGTTAAAAGAAAGGCATGGGCAGAACTGGTATTTCCACTATTTTTGAGGGCAAAGAAGATTTTTCCAAGCGTTACTGTACTTGTCCATTCTGATAGAGTAGGTAGCAGTAACAAGGCATTCTTATGTGATAACTTTATCTCAGTTTTTAACTATTTGCAAATGACATTTATTCAGGCAAATGACCATGAACTCCAGTTTTCCATGGTTGATGGTGATTTCAAGAAGTTTGAAGGAAAATGGTCTGTCAAATCTGGTAAAAGGTAAATTCTGGTGTAACATATTTTGCATCTCCTTCCTGGTGATGTGTGTTTCTGATTAAAGACTCATGTATCATTTGTTCTTAACATTTTTGGCAATCCATGCTGGTTATGCATCTCATTGGCAAACATGTACCTCAAAACTATACTAAATAATTGAATAATGAAAGCTTAGTGAGTGACGTGAATAACTATTCTCATATTCACTCTAACAAAATGGTGCAAAAGATAGAAACTGAATGAAGGAAGATAAAGTCAAATGAACTTCTCGTAGGCAAGGTTTATCCATTCCCCCGCCCCCCCCAACCCCAAAAAAAAAATTTTGTAATATATTTAACACCAAGGTGGTCTTTCCCCAAAAATCATTAAATAATATCATAATTATGAATGAATCCCATGATACTGTTGCATGAATGTAGCCTCTTCTTTTAGTTTTGGAGCCTTTATTCAAAAAATGATATTGTTTACCTTTACATAGCATAGGTAAACATCTTTAGTGACAGAGACAAACATGCGTTGGAATTTTGGTCATCCTCTAGATCTTGCTTGCAATGTAATCATATTTACTTCCTTTCTTGCTTCCTTTTTGAAAATTTGCCTCACATTCTTCTTTTCTGCAGTTGCAAGATGATGGTGGCTCGATTAAAATATAAGTGTTATTGATCCAAATCTTCCTTTTTTACCATGAGTGTCGCATAACAAACCTTTGACATCACATAATATTGTGTGCTGTATTAACAGTTTGAACTTCATGACCGATGATCACATCTTTAAAGCGTTCAGCTAATAATTGTTTCAACTTTATGCGCATCTATTATTGTTGTCATATATCTTAAACTTGTGTCTTATCTTCTTATGAGAGACAGATACATCATATTTACAGGTTTTTTATTTTTTATTTTTTGTGACTCTTTCATATACCATTATAAGAAACTGATAAATAAAAGCGATTACCATAAGGACTCCTTTATTTTCAATATGAGAGATGATACCTTTATCAGAAGATTGGCAGATTGTCTGCTGATCATAGAAAGAATGACAAAATTCTTTCTTTGCTCTTCAATTATGCTACAGTTGGATCACTCAGTAATATGAGGTCCTGTTTTGCATGGCTAAATTTTGTATGATACTGACAATGGTAAATCATCAATGACTTTGTCACTTAGGATAGGGAAAATGTAACTCAAATTACTTAGTACCTAGTCAGAATAGGGAAGCAACTGGTACACTTTAACTAAATAGTTTATTTAGATAAGCTTCAAGCAAATGATGTGTCTAAAGGTGATCAGCTCTCTTTTAGTCACACAAATGATGCAGACAATTTTTTTTTTTTTTTAGTTTATAATATCGTCTCTTGTGGACTTTGCAGGTTCTCAAAAACTACTTTGAGTTATGAGCTAAATGTCATACCAACATTCAACTTCCCTGCAATTTTCTTGGAGAGAATAATCAGCTCAGATCTTCCTGTGAATCTTCAAGCCATGGCTTGCAGAGCTGAAAGTACTTTCAAGAACAGCCAGAATTCATTGACTGATGAAGCTCCTCCAGTTACAACATTAGCAGACTCCTTTACTTCCACAAGTTCAGATGTCAGTGGTGTTGCATCAGACAAGAATGATTTTCCCACTGGAGAATTAAAAGAAAAATTGCTCAAGGCTACCTTGAGCCCCTTATCTCCCGCAAAAAGTGAGTTAAGCAGTAATTGGGGAGTATTTGGGAAAGTATGCAAGCTTGATAAGCCATGTATGGTAGATGAAGTTCATCTTCGAAGATTTGACGGCCTTTTGGTAACTGATGACTCTTCAGGAAACCTTGCATTTACCTGTGAAAGCCATGTCTGAGAAAGCTGTCTAACCCATCATTTGGTCTTCTTGTGAAGGAAAATGGAGGTGTTCACCGTTGTGTTATTGCTAGCATAACCGTAAAAGCTCCAGTGCCTGAAGTTTGGAATATTTTGACTGAGTATGAGAGACTTCCTGAGTAAGTAACAAAGGCTTTCATTTCAGACCTCTGAATCCTGGAGAATAATAGGGAAACTAATATGTTTCGTGATGTCCTTTTCAGTATCCTGAAATCATTGTCCACATTCTAATTGATCTTAAACCATCTTCAACTGGATCATCATGTGATAAGAACATTTTCTCTGTAAATGGAGCACTATTCATTCTGCACGAATTGAATTTATTGAAAGCTTCAGTTTTGCAATACATATAAAATCAATTGTCCACTGAGGATGATAAGAATAATCTCGTTATGTTTCAAGGCCCACAGCAACAAGAAGAAAATATGCTAAACCTTGGCACGAGTAGAAATTTAGGCAAGAGAAACTGCCGTCTTGAAAGAAATTGAACTTTCTGCATTGCACAGTCTCTAGATTTAAATTTTCTCTCTTGGTCCTCTCTTTCCACCCCATATTAAAACAGAAGTTGAATTAAGATCATTGTGGAAAGTTTATGATAATTTACAGTTTCAAGCACAGGCTACTGAATCTGACAACCTTGAGAAAATCATTAGCTTAAAATGTTCTAATTAACAATAAAAAATGGGATATTCTGAATACTTTGCATGGTCTAGGTATTTTTAGAAATATGATTAGAAGGATATGGTTTCCCTTGGAATGTTATTTAGCTTAATGAAACAGAGAATACAACTCATAGCAATATCTCTTTCTTTTTCTCATCCTTGTTTTTGTTCTTTCGAGATCAAGGAGTCATGAAATGCTTAGCTATCTATTATAATAGTATAACGAACTGAAAAGTTCATATCTACAAGGAGTTAAGGTTGTAGGCTTTCTAATAAAAAGGTTGGATCATTGGTATGAGAAGGTCAGTAAAGAGGTTGATCATTCTGAGTTAACCTGATGCTTAGCCTGAGCAAATGATTATTCTGTATTAAATTATAAAACAACAGCCCCTGTTGCTTTTGAACAATTAATCTCATTTAGCTATCAAGCTAGAGTGGAGGAATGAGGAAATTCATGTGTCTCTGCATGCAGTGAGAGAGAGAGAGAGAGAGAGTATGTGTGTGTGTGTGTATGAATGACAATAGGAGTAGTAATGGAATAAAGATTGACATATTAGGGATAATAAAAAGAGAGGAATTTTTTTTTGTTTCCTCTGAACGACATCTTCTATGTACACACTGTACATAGAATAAAGTTTTTACATTTTGGATCCAGCATAAATGAAACTTTCTCTTTACTTTCTTTTAACTAGTGCAGGATAGTTCCAAACTTAGCTATCAGCAAGATTCTGTCACGCGAGAACAATAAAGTTCGCATTCTTCAGGTACAAACTGCTGTTTTCATACTAACAATTGATGGTGATATATCAATTGATGCTGTTTCCCTTTAGAAATGTCCATGTTGTCTCATACGTACAATCTTATTGCTGTGCTTTTTCAGGAGGGATGCAAGGGTTTGCTATACATGGTACTTCATGCACGTGTTATACTTGACTTGTGTGAAGTACTTGAACAAGAGATTAGCTTTAAGCAGGTTGAAGGTGATTTTGATTCATTCAGGGGGAAATGGAGTCTAGAGCAATTAGGGAATCATCACACACTGTTGAAATACACTGTGGAGTCAAAAATGCGGAAGAATTCATTTCTTTCTGAAGCTATCATGGAAGAGGTTTGTCTCCATTGCTGTTTATTACAAGAATATAGTGTTTTCCTTGTCGAATTACGTCACTTTAGTGTGCATTGATGTATACGTATACATATATGTGATGGCATATATAATTTTTTCAGTTTAAAGTCCTTTTCACAAAAGATGAAATTCCAGGAAATGATTCTGTTAATCTTCATAATTATATCTGCTGTGACGTTAGAATCCATCAAATGATTATCAATCATCCTTGCAAAATTTTATGGACTTGTAGGTGATATATGAAGATCTCCCTTCAAATTTATGTGCAATTCGAGATTATATTGAGACAAAGGTTGCTGAAAACACTTCCAAGGCATTTGACTATTCAGCTTACACAAATGAGCTTTTTGCTTCATCTTCCAACGAGAATTCTGCCAGTAATGATGAGCCAGCTAATCAAAATTTGAGTTCAACTGCTTCAGATTCATCTAGACAGAGACCTAAAGTTCCAGGATTGCAGAGAGACATTGAAGTTCTCAAATCTGAACTCTTCACTTTTATAGCTGAACATGGACAAGAAGGCTTTATGCCCATGAGAAAGCAACTTCGGAGGCATGGAAGGGTGGACATTGAGAAGGCAATCACGCGCATGGGAGGATTCAGAAGAATAGCTGCCTTGATGAATCTCTCTCTCGCATACAAACACCGCAAGCCAAAAGGTTATTGGGACAACCTTGAGAATTTGCAAGAAGAGGTTAGTTATTAGTTATTGAAAATCTAAGTCAATGAGAAAATCATGCAGCTAGCTTCCCCCCCCCCCCCCCAAAAAACCAAAAACAAAAAAAACTAAAGATTGCTAAGCCTATGACAGAATCGAAATTAAAGGGTTAGCATTCTAGACCTCGACATACTTACAACAGTGTGCTTGACTTCTCTATTGAAATCTTTGTGCTGGACTAATGTCTAATTCTACAGATAAGTTGGTTCCAAAAGAGTTGGAGAATGGACCCATCATTCATGCCCAGCAGAAAAGCTTTTGAGCAAGCAGGTGCAGAAAATACATTTCATCTTGTTTTCTTGTCATTTCAGTGATAATGTTTTAGAATTTACTTATAACCAGAAAAAGACTCAACTTTTGCACTAGCTGGTCCAGCTTGTCTTATGCATAAAAAGTTTCACAAAATCTTATTGGTAATCCTTTTATACGCATGAAATGAAGTCTAGATATGCTGGAGTGATTTTGATGTGGATGCATAATTTGAACTTAACATCATCAGAACATGTATATGTCTAAATAGTTCTTCAGCAAGTACGCTCCTTCAAATATCTTAATCAACATATACTTTTCAGGTCGCTTTGATATTGCACGTGCATTGGAGAAATGGGGAGGTCTTCATGAAGTTTCACGTCTTCTTTCACTTAAGGTGAGGCATCCTAACAGGCAGGCAAGCTTAGCAAAAGAAAGAAAAATGGAAGTTTTGGCGCCTAACGAAGACCAGGCACCATCTAAGCCTTATGTTTCGCAAAACACTCAGAAGTGGCTGACAAAAGTGAAGGAATTTGACATAAATTGGGTGGAATGATATCTGTATCTGTTGTTCTCGCTAATTATGTATTTGCTGTAAATTAATCAAAAATTTCGGTATTAAGGAAGAGTAAGATTATGTATAGACCATGTTCCAATTTCCTTTATATATGATGAACGCTGGTGTCTGAGAATTCATAATGGATCCAAGATCTGGATCAGCCCCACTAGATGTTACAGCATTAAGGTTACCTCTAATCTTCCAATGTGTTAAACAGGGAAAAAGTTTCAGAACTTCCTTCTCTCTTACCCAAGATTTGTAGCAGAAACTTATAAAGAACTTTGGCAACGAGTAAAGTGGCTAAAGATTTTATAGTGTGGCTGGATTTCTGTGGAATATTAATGTGGGACGTATAGTCTTTAAACAGAATCAAAAAGAAATACGAAAGCTAAGGATCTAGTACAGGATGTGAAATTGATGCATAATTGTGTGAAATGATGCATATTGTGAAGCCATGAAATCAATACTAGCATTTGAAAAGAAACAAAAAAAATAAACAAAAAAATTATTGCTTAACTTATTGCCAATGCAGTCTCCACATTTATATAACTTGGAAATCAACACTTTTGGAAAGGTCCAGCATAGGCTCCTGAATTACAAGCATTCGAACCATATTATCTGTAAATTAGCTTCCTGAGGCCAAGAAATGATGATGATGTTTAGTAATTTCAAAAAACATCACTAAACCTTCTTGGGTACCTTTCTTCGCTACTTTTGAATGAAATGTGAGATCAAATGTAGGCTCCAAAATGTAATAAAATAGATCTTGCCATCTATAGAGTTTCTTATCAATTATTGACATTGGAAACTAACAAATAAACAAGCTTCCACCAATCTAGTACACAAGTTAAACAAAGTAAAAAGAACTTATTTAGGGCATACAAATAATAATACTAACATGAAAGCTAGAGCATAAAAAGAAGAAAAAGAAAAAGGGAAGAAACATAGAGGTGGCAATTTATCCTAAATCCCGATGAACTACCCATGCCCAAAGGGACTTTGGGTGAAATGGGTATTGTAATTTGATATTGGATTTAAAATGGGACATATCCCAATTGTATCCATTAATTGATGGGAAATGTTGGGAAATACTTGGGTACCAATTGGGCCCAAATATGTTCCCAAAAAATTTCATTTCCGACCTGATCAACTCCTCTCCCTTGTCATCTCCGACCTCTGCAGCTCCCTCAACCATTCCTCCACCTCCCTTTCTTCCTCCGCTCACCCTTGGCTACTCCCTCAACTTTTGTCAATTATATCTTGTATCCTGTTCATGCCACCTCAAAAAATCCGATAGGTATTTCATCCTCATATCCCTTCCTTCCTAATTTACTCCTCGGTTTTCTTGTTTATATTTGGGTATTTTTTTATAATTTGTTTCTTTCCCTTTAATACAATAATTGATTTTTTGCATGCTGTCAATTGGCTGTTTCCTATTTGATGTAGTGGGAATTGCTGTAAATGTGTTGTGAAGGATGAGAAAGCTAGACTTTGAACGGGGAAACCATTTGTGTAGCAGATGAATGCTTATGTTCCATATGCGAATGCATCATATGGTTTAATATAAAGGTTCACATCTTCAGCCAAGCTAAATAATGGCCTAAATGGGTTCCAATAACCAAAAACTTTGGTTTGGTTGATTATTTGAAATAATTTTTTGAAAAAAAAATATTGCAGAATGTAAATCATTCTAGAGTGTAAAATGAATTCATGAAAATATAAATTCACAATAAGACTAAAAGAAATTTAATAAATCAAAATTATTAAAGTTTATTTAAAAAATAAAAAATGAATTAAAGGAAAAAAAATATGTAAAAAGTAGATTTGGGTATTGGACGGAATCAATCTAAACCATCCCAAAGTAATCATGTCCAAGTTAGTCCCAAAACACATATGAGTAATGTTGAGCCCAAACCTATTTGATTCGGTTATATCTCAAACCCAAGAAATCCCGCCCGCCCATTTTGCCATCTCTTTTTTCTTCAAGAAACTAAAATGAAAATGGTAGGAAATAATAAAAATGATAATAATCAAAGATAGAATGGGTAATCTTATCTAAACATGGAATAAACGGGGAAAATTGCCTATTAAAGGAGTTAGGGGGATAAACTGCAACTCACTATATAATCTAAGGGGGTCTAGTGCATTAAACCCTTTAGTTTATAACTATTATCTATTAGTAATTTCCGTCTACTCAAGTATACAAAGTATATTTCATGGAAGAGTTGGAAGTAGAAAACTGTCGTCATGCTGAACATCAACTGTGCAATAATATGTCCTCTTCAAAATGGAAAAGATCAAGAACCCCCATTGAAAAAACACCATATTGAGACCCACTATATACAATAAAAAAATTTAGAAAAGTAAGAACGAATTCAAGCAGTGAAACTTTTCCTTATCTAAACTACAATTAACGGTCTCATGTTCAGGTATATTAAGATAGAATAGCACATAGAGCTGATACAACATAGTGACCAATGTACATTACACTTCCATGAACCAAACATAATTCAGTTATAAAAAAAACTTAGCCATCATCATTTCAAGCTAATCCCATCAAGATTACAACATAGTGACCAATGTATATTACGCTTCCATGAACCAAACATAAGTCAGCTTTGAACAAATAACTTAGCTATCATCATTTCAAGCTACTCCCATCAAGAGCTGGCAAGCTATCAAACAAGACTTCAGAAGCAGTGTCTAGTTCCTGCTCTGATATTGACTAATGGAGGGCAAGCCTAACAACATTGCCTTTCCCTGCAGTGAGTATGAGAAGACCAGATTGTTGACATGCATCAAGGAGTGGTGAGGCAGATACATCCCGCTCTATGCCAATAATAAGCCCTAAACCCCGTACTTCTTTCACATGTGGATTTCCCCCTAGTTTCTTAACTAACAATTCTTTAAAATATTTGCCTTTCTTCACGACACTGGCCAAAAACCTAGGTTTCGAGATTTTATCCAGCACGGCAATTGCAGCACTGCAAACAAGGGAATTGCTAGAAAGGTGCTACCATGATCTCCAAAATTAATGCTGCAGCAACCCTTTCAGGTGTCAGCACAGCCCCATTTGGTAGACCACCAGCAGGTCTGGCAAGAATCATCATATATGGATATATGTCATAAGCGTCATGAGCCCAAAGATAACCAGCCCTACTTAGGCCACATTGAACCTATAGGATAAAGAAAGCATTAGGAGTCCCTCTTAGTAAACCACACATTAAACAGACAGTAGTATAAGGGAATACCATGGAGTAATCAAACAAGTACATTCAGATTTGATGTTTAGCATCCTAGTCTTTCAAACATTTCAGGATTAATTTACCATGTAAAAGGTTTAATGCGATAACCATCCAATTGTAGTAATTGAAAACTTGGACTAAGAACTACATTGGACGGATAAGCCCAATAGATTCATGAGCTGAGGAGCCTTTTTTTCTGATTTCAACACAAGGAATATTCCATCACATCATCTTTCTCAATCTTAAATCCCATGTTTTGACTGTTTGATAGGCCTAGCATTAATGTCAGTGGCAACAATTGTTAAGCAATTCCTTTAATGAAAATCCAAGACGTGAGATCAAAAGGAAAAACGTGAAACAACCACCAAGAGTTAGCTGCAGGATGGGATACCTGAATAGCACCTAGGCACACTTTTCCCTGTGCTTCCAGAAAGCCTATTATGCAACAACAAATGGGGATATGCGATATGGCTCTTGTGCCTCACTTAGTACTCGGTGTTCCTTGTGCCCAATTGCTGTCTTAATAAAAAAATGCTATAATTTCCTGAGAGACAGTAACTTACCTCATCAAAAACAAGAAGCACCCCAGCACTATCCAGGCTGTGCGCAATGCCTCCAAAAACTCCTTTGTGGCACTGTATATACCACCTTCACCCTGGATAGGTTCTACAAAAACAGCTGCAAGAAAGCTGACTCCAGGCATCACTGGTTCAAAAGGAATTCTGTAATGCTTCTTGCTTGTTAAAGCAAGAGCTCCCATAGTCCTTAATTGCTGAAGGCAATGAACTCCTCAGGTGGATGTTTTTCGCTGGGATGCAAAGATCTCTGAAATTTGCTTGCTAATTTTATTGCAGATTCATTTGCTTCCATACCAGAGTTCGTAAAGAATACATGATCAGCTAATGAGCTAGCAACCAAACGCTTGGCAAGTTCAACCTGAAAATTCCAGAATACTTTAATAACATTTATCTTGCACACAGAAAAACTGAGTGTGAAATGTAGAAGACCAATTTAGTCTTCTAGGAAATTCTTACATTGATTAGTTAACTGAACAACCATCCATCATACCATCCATAGTTTCCCAAACAAATCAAATTTGCTAATCCAGAAAGTCCTAAAGCACCAACAACTAACATAATTCACATGCTTTTAAGTCCAAAATACTACACTATACTACTATTTCTTTCCTCGCCTAGAATCGACACCAGTTTCAAACCTGAAACAGATTTCAAATTCAATTAACAGACCTTCAAAATCATAAAAAAAAAAACATATATTCCATATCAATCATTTGTAATTAAAAGAAATCCATTTGCTCAGATGATACCAATTATTGATTCAATTGTTAAATAAACAAAAACAAGAAGCAGAAAAATAATTAAAAAAAAAAGAAAGAAAATTTGCCTGTGGAACAGAGCAATATATGTTGCTGACATGGCGTGGTATTAGCTTGGTGAGTAAGCGCCTGCACCAATCAGGATCACCATGGCAAAGGCATTTACAGCAATCCCAGAGCTCAAATGCAAATACCCTCGACCATCAATATCATACAACTCACAACCTTTGCCGCTGGAGAGCACAACAGGGGCTCTTGCATACGTTCCCACCAAACCCTTTTCTCCTCCTCCATTATCTCTTTAGCCCTTTGAGCATTTTGTCCTAAGGCTGGCGGCCTGGGTGAGACAGAATCTGGTGCCTTGACGTCCACATTCAGGCAAGCTAATGGGGACAGAACTTGACGGTTTGGGAGTTTGAATAAAGTGAATGGCGGAAACTAATTGGGTTTATGGAGAAGAGATGAATGGAGCTGCTCATGGTTTTGATTTAGGGTTTTGAAATGAGTGGAATTGGCTATAGAGATCGGGATTTCATTTCAGTCAAGGAAGAGGGAAGAGGGAAGAGGGAAGAGAAGAATGGTCGAGGGCGGGGGCTGGGAAACGTTCATTTTGCGGCAGACGGAAATGAAAGGGATGCATTAGTTTGCCTACTGTGTAAATGAGCCTAATTCATCTCTCTCCCGCCGTGTGAGAGTTCAAATTTTCTCTCTCTTGGGAAGTGTGCAGATCTCCCTCCCTGGGAGGTCTTCCTGAGAAACTTTGCCTGAAACCTGAGTGACCATACAACTTCCAACCCATATGCAAGAATACAAAACTCTCTACATATATTAAAGCTTCCGACAGATTTAAGTAGGAGCATTAAAAGACAACGGACAAGATTTTTCTCAGCTTCAGATAGGTGGAGCCAAAAATCAAGGCAGCTGGTAGGATTTCCACTAACCTCTGTCTTCAAAGCTCAGACAGGTAACTTTAAAGCGTTACTGTACGGATCTAGCCTGGTATTGCAAGTACTCTTGAAAGGTGTTTATTTTTCCAGCTGAGGTCCTTCTGTCCTCGATTTTCCTGTGCATTCCAAAAAAAAAAAAGGGTTTTATTTCCGAATCTTGTTATTTCTTTCTTGTTGTGGATAGGAGAGGGCACTCTGTTTTTTCGTTGGCTTTCTACAGCCTTAAAAGGTTTTTTATATTAAAAAAAAAAAATAAAAGTAGGCCTTGTGTTGGTTTTTGCTGGTTTCTGGTGTTTTGAGTGCACTGATGCAGTTGTACGCTTCTATTTTTCTGTCCAGTCGTCTCTCTGAACTGCTTTCCCTTCAGTGGAAGTTTCATACCTAGAGTGTTAGAGTTTCGTTTAGACCACCCCTGTTCAGTAGGCTTAACCCTTGCTTCATCTCCTGGAGGTGCCTTGGTCAGTGATATTCCTTCTCTGGAAACATAGCTGGTTTTCTATGGCTGAGGAGATAGCAGAGATTTTGCAAAAATTTGTGTTATCAAAAAAAGAGTTGGGTGGCACAGAAATTGACCGGGAGACGTAGGACCGAGCGTGAAGGAATGTGAAGAAAGCCTGGTAGGGAAAATAAAAGGTGAAAAAATAATAAACTTTGTGGGAGTGAAAAACTTTGTTACCTTAGCATGGGGATACCCTAAAGGTTTGAAGGTTGTGGAGGTAGGAGTCAATACATTCAGTTCATTATCCCCAGTGACACAGATAGAGACAGGATCTCTAAGGGAGGGCCATGGATCATCGACAGCCATATGTTAGTAGTAAGGCCTTGGTTTGAAGGTTTTGAAGAGGAACGGCTGAGTTTAATATCGCCTATGGATACAAATCTGGAACCTCCCAGTGCACTGGCTCTCGAAAGAAGTGGGGAGAAAAATAGCTTCGGTGTTCCAGGAAACAAAGGAAGTTATCATACCTCAAGGGGGTAAGGAAGGAAGGCACATTAAGGTTTGGTGATGGCAGATATATCCAACCCTTATGAGAGGTACCACAGTTAAAATGGATGGAAAAGTGATATGGGTTAATTTTAGGTATGAAAGGTGCCCAGATTTTTGCTACACTTGTGGTAAAATAGGACATAGTGAAAGGAATTGCACTGATAGTATACAAGTGGAGAAAGGCCAGGCGGATAACCAATTTGGGCCATGGCTCAGGGCAGGAGGGGGGAAGATGTCACCTCAGAGAGAAGGGAGAGGCAGACAGTCAGGTAATACATCTCCTAACAAACAGCGCTGGGGATTCAAAGATGGGGAACTGGTGCCAAGGACAGGAGGAGGGAAACTGATGGAAAAAGAGCAGCAAGGTATTAAGGATGTAGGCGATAAGGAAGTTGGACTGAAGTGGCTGGTAGTCAGGAAGGGACTAACCGGGCTACAAAAGAACAAGAAGTGAAAATGAAAAACAGAAGGAAAGGGGAAGAGATTAGAGATGGAGGAGAGCAGGAATGTAGGGACAGTAAGATGGAACAGGTTACGAAAGATGGGGTGAGATGTTCAGTACAGAAAAGCTGAACAGGGTGCCAGAGAATTCTGGTGAACAGCTTTTAAAGCCTTAGAAACTGAGAGTATGCAAGTAGAAGAAAAGTTGGAAAATGTTGGGGACACAAGCAATCAGAAGGCATCTATAAGGAGAAGGAAACAGGCCAAAACTCCAGTTATAGGAGGAAACCTCTGAAACAATACAAAACCTCTTGGTTAATAAAGAACCTGCAGGAAAAAGGAAGTTTCATCTAGTAGATGCAGATATGGTGGATGTTGACGTGGTTGAGGTTACGGGAAAGAAAGGAAAAATGGAGATAGGTCAAGAAAGCTGTGTAATGCAAGGTGAGGGGGAGGTGACCAGCCCAACTTGGTCACCCATGGAAAATGAAAGCTCTGGTGTGGAATTGTCAAGGTGCTGGGAGCCCTTGACAATTCCCCAGTTGAGGGAGGCTTGTAACCTCCTCTCCCCAAACTTGGTGTTCCTGTGTGAAACCAAAAAAGAAAAATTTTCATGGAAAAACTACAAAAACAGTTGAGGTTTGAGGAAAGTGTGGTGGTGGAATCTATGAATAAAGCAGGAGGGATGGCGTAATGTGGAGCAATGAGGTGCAGGTAATGGATGTGGTAACTACTGCCTTCACAGTAGAAGTCCATATCATGGATTCTGAGGCTAATGTGGACTGGTGGTTCATAGGAATTTACGCTAGCACTGATGATCAAATTAGGAGGAATCAATGGGAGGTGATTGAGAGAAGGAAGGTACTGTGGGGACAAAGGTGGCTGATCTCAGGAGACTTCAATGATATTGTTTCCAATGATGAAAAATGGGGGGGTAGAAGAAGAGAGGAAGGTTCTTTTAGGGACTTCAGACTTTTATCCATCAAAATGGCCTCATAGATTTGGGTTTTGAGGGGAAACCGTGGACATGGAGCAATCAATGGACTCAAGAAGGAGAAATTAGACAAAGACTTGATCGAGCACTAGGAAGTAGTGCCTGGAGCCAACATTTTGACAGAGCTACAGTCAAACACATTGAGAATTTTGGCTCAGATCATAGTATGATATTGCTGGATGCTAACCCCTGCGAGAAAAAGGAAAAAAAGATTCATATTTGATAAAAGGTGGCTGAAAAAAGAAGGTGTGGAAGAAGTAGTAAAACAGGCTTGGAATAGTCCCCACAGTGGATCAAGAATGTACAAAGTACATAGGAAAATTGCAACCTGCAGAGTTGAAATCCTCAAATGGAGGAACCAGTTTCAAGGAAATGCAAGGAAGAATATTGACAAGGTAAAAAAGCAACTGGAGGAGCTGAAAGACACTGACTGCCAAGACAAGAAGAGGAGAAACAAGATGCTAAAAAGGCAATTAAAGGAGGCGTATGAGGAAGAAGAGATGTTTTGGAGTCAGAAATCTAGAGTTCAGTGGCTAAAGGAGGGAGATAGGAATACACATTTCTTCCATCTAGTGTGAAGGGTAGAAGAAAGAGAAACAAGCTTCACAGATTACTACGAGAGAATGGGGATTGGACTAACTCAGAAGAGGAGATAGGAGAAGAAGTGGTGAGTCATTATAAAGACCTCTTCTGCAGTAAAGGGCTGAACAGGTAGACATGGTTCTAGAAGGAATATCACAGACCATCACTGACCAAATGAACTTAGACTTACTGAACCTGTTAGGGAGGTAGAAATCAGAAGCTTTGTTTTCCATGAACCCAACAAAAGCCCAGGCCCTGATGGCATGACACCAAACTTTTTCCAGAAATTCTGGAATATCCTCAAAACAGATGTAATTCAGGCCATCACAAGTTTCTTCCATTCTGGCCATATGCTCAAAGCAGTTAATCATACCATCATTTCCCTGATACCTAAGGTAGAAAACCCACTGATATAAAGCAGTTCAGACCCATTAGTCTTTGCAATGTCATTTACAAAATCATATCCAAAATACTTGCAAACAGATTGAAAAAAGTGCTGGATAATTGCATCAGTAAAAACCAGGCAGCTTTTGTGCCTGGAAGACAAATTTTGGATAATGTCATTCTCTCATGAGTACATGCACTATCAAAAACAAAAGGCAGGGATCTCAAGGTTTCATGGCTTTAAAGTTAGATATGTCAAAAGCCTATGACAGGGTGGAGTGGGGATATTTGAAGGAAATGATGATCAAATTGGGATTCTGTGAAAAATGGATCAGCTGGATCATGGAGTGCATCACAACAGCTACTTTCTCTTTCAATATAAATGGGGAAGCAAGAGGATATGTGATACCTTCTAGGGGGATTAGGCAAGGTGACCCCTTATCACCGTACCTATTCTTACTAGTCTCTGAAGGTTTTCAAATCTGCTGGCTCAAGCTGAGAGTAACCAGAAGCTGACAGGAATGAAAATTAGTAGAAGTGGACCAGCAATCAGTCATCTTTTCTTTGCAGATGACTCCCTGATTTTTTGCAAAGCTGATACAAGTCAAGCTGAAGAGGTGCTGAGGATATTGGAAAAATATGAAAAAGGCTCGGGACAAATGATAAATATGGACAAGTCTTCAGTGTTCTTTAGTAAGAATGTGACACAAGAAGATCAAGAAGAAATCTGCAGCAGACTAGGAAATATAAGAATGGTGCATCAAGGAAAGTATCTGGGATTGCCAATGGTAATAACCAGAACCAAGGAACAAATATTTGGCTATATCAGAGACAAATGCCAGAAAACGGTCTCTAACTGGTGCAACAAGAAGCTTAGCCAAGCAGGAAAAGAGGTGTTATTGAAAGCAATCACTATGGCCATGCCAACCTATGCAATGTCTTGCTTCAAGCTTCCAGTGAAATTGTGTAAGGATATACATGCCTTAATGGCAAAATTCTGGTGGGGGGATAATGAAAAAAGAAAAGTACACTGGTGCTCATGGAAAAAGATGGCAGCTGGGAAGAACAGAGGAGGACTAGGATTCAAAGACTTACAAGCTTTCAACAAAGCCTTGTTGGGTAAACAAATCTGGAGGCTTCTCACGAGTCCAAACCTGCTGATGAGCAAGGTGTTGAAAGCAAAGTACTACTGGAAGGTCACCTTTGAGCTGTGAAGTAAAAGGCAACTCATCCTGGATTTGGAAAAGCTTGATGGGAGCTAGGGAGGAGGTTAAGCGAGGTGTAAGGAAGGAGGATTGGAAATGGGAAGGGGACCAGAATTTGGGAGGATGCTTGGATTCAGGATGGGAAGGATGGAAAGCTAGAGTCCCCTAAACCCACAGGGTGCCTGATGAGCAAAGTGAGTGAAATGATATCTAATTTTAGATGGAATTCACCACTTGTTCTCAGGATCTTTAACACAAGAGAAGCTGGACAGATACTTAACACTCCTGTTAGCCTAACTGGTCGACCTGACTGCTACTCCTCGAGTTATAGCACCAATGGCCAATACACAGTTAGGTCAGCGTATGAGGCAATTACAAGGGAGGGTAAGCAGCAGGAATCCAATGGGAGACTGAAGGGGAGACAAGCTGGGAAGGAGGGAGTGAGAAAGTCTGGAAACAGCTATGGAAGTTGAAGATAAAGCATAAACAAAAGCTATTTATATGGAAAAGTCTGAACCAAGTCTTGCCGAGGAGGGAAGCAATATACAAACGAATAGGCAAAGGTGACATGATTTGCAAGCTGTGTGGAGAAGGTAGTGAGACAGTGAACACATTTTTTTTCATTGCACAAAGGCTCAAATGATATGGCAGATGGCACCCCTCCAGTGGGATGGAATTAAGGAACATACTGCTGACTTCAGAAGATGGTGGAGCATTTTAATGGAGGCACAAACCAGACGGGAGGGACTGGAACATATAGCTTTAACAGTGGAAATACTCTGGCAGATTTGAAAGCTAGGAATGAAGCTGAATTCGAAGAGAATGATAGACATCCAATGGAAGTTATCAGGAAAGCAATTAAGGATTGGGAGGAGTATCAACAAACGCAACAAATGGAACATCATATGAGCATCTTAGAAACAGAAATAGCACAAGAAGATGAGGAAAGGCTGTGGGAAGAGGATACTTTGCTAAACATCAGTGTTGAGGTAGGACAACATGCAGAAGGCCAAAACATGGGAATTGGAGTTATAGCAGAAAATAACAGGAGCCAGAAATGTGCAGCTTGGATACTGAAGGAGAGAAGTACTTGTTCGGCTGTTTGGACAACTTGATGGCCATCAAACTGGCACTCTGTAAGCTAAACGAGAAAGGGTGGCAATATATCAAGATCCAAACACCATGTACTCAGGTGCTGAATATGCTACGCCCCAAGCTACTAGCAATTCAAGGCTGGTAACTCATCTGGAGGATATCAGAGACCTTAGCTCAATGTTTAGGAAATGCTCATTTGATAGATTACCTGTTGAAGTGAATAGGCTCAGTGAAAAACTGAGCAAGCTAGCTATGCGGATACTTTAATGAGGACCTTAGGTTCCTCTGTAGTTTAGTCCACTTTTGTAAAGTCTATGCTTGAGCCCTTGCTCATATAATGTGTATGTTCTCATTAATTTTATGAATAAAATCGTTATCGTTTCTGGAAAAAAAAAAGTGTAAATGAGCCTAATTCGTTTAACTTACTGTGTAACCGAAACTAAATAAACCGAAACTAAATATTGTTTAATTATTTTGACAAAAAAGTTAACTTGTTTACTTCTCAAATCGTGCTCCAACAAATTTTTATGGAGTTGAAATCGAGTGAACTTTGAATAGTTTAAACTTTTTACATGTATATTTCACTTTTATGCTTATAGAATCCAATTCAAACAGAATTTGAAAGTTTATCGAACATAAATTATTGTTCAAATTTGGTTTGATTAACTAGCAAATCATACTTGAACGAGCTCTTATCAAATCAAACTTGATTCAAGTATCGAATAGTTTGGTTTGTCTTCAACTTTTCATTAACTAGTCAAAAAATAAATAGTAACTGGTCAAATGGTTCTTAATTAGGTTCTTAATTTGGTGTAAATTTTATAGAAAGGTAATGGTTAAAGCCTAAAGTCAATAAATGGCAACACATTTAACTGGGAAATTTCGTGTAAAAAAAATTACCTTAACAATTATTAAATGGCCAACACATTTGTTGTTACACTCAAAAGCCAAATTACCTTCACAATTATTAAAGAGACTTTCTAAAAGAAAATGTAAGGTTACCAGTTTTCTTTCTAGACTGGACACCATTTGCCATATTTCTCAACAAGCTAGTTTCTCAACCTCGTTGATTTACCAACAAAGACACACACCACTTCAGGTATTTCTTTTCTCCTTTACGTTCAAACTCTTCCTATTACATGCGCGTTTTCTTATAAATTTTGCTTCTAACATGTGTTCGTTATTCTTGCAATCTTTTTTAGTTCTTGGAATATGCATTTGTTAACTGCAATAAGGGATTTTTTTTTTTTTTGTATTCCTAGTCAAGTTTGTTGATGAAAGCATTAGTAAATATGTGTATAAAAAAGGTATTGTTTTCATGAATAGGTAGTTGTTTTGCTATGATTCGGCACTTGTTCTGCATGTATATGGTTGTACTAGGAGGGGTCACCGCGCAAATGCGCGGTGTGAAATTTTAATTTTGCCCAATTATTTTTAATGTTGCCTAATTATTGCCCTCTAAACAAAATTTCTATGAAAAAAAATATAATGTTGCAATTGTAAAAGATTTAAACTAAAAAAAGTTACAATTACAATTTGTCATACAGTGAAAACCTTGACATTTGTTCATAGTCAAGGAATTCATAATAAATAGATGAAACAATAAAATCAGTCTTGCAAAATCTCGAAACATGAAGTCTAACTTTCATGATTCCAATAGAAACATATTTTAACGCAAACCAAAAACAAAAATTTCTTTCACCTGCCATGTATAACACCGAGAAAGTAAGATATAATCCATCAGAATTAGTTTACTATATAACACCAAGTTAAAAATAAATCAAGAGAATTGAATGATGCCACCAAGGACAGGACAAATTCAGCAAACAACAGCACTTGTGGTTACTCATAGTCCAATACAAATTTGTTACCCTTGTTTTTTTCAACCCATTTCACAATCAGGGAATTTTTTCCATTTTATTTGGCTACAATAATTGTTGAAGTTGATAGATGAAAAGATTCTTACACGCAAAGCTAAAGTATCTTGCTTGCTAACTCGGGTTCTGACTGAAGTGAAAGTATTGGATGTGCTACAGTGTTAGATCCTTAGAGAGTTAGAGATGGTACGCAAGTAAACTTGTCCACAACTTGATCATGCAACTATGCAATTTACACAAAATGTCAATGGAAAATAAGGTGAAAATGGAAATAAAATGATCATGCAATCAAATAGGCCAGGAAGATCCTAAAACGTTAAAATGAAGCAGAAGCTTCTTCAGAGAGGATGTCTTTATATTCTAATGACATACTCCAACCCAAAAGCCAAAATACATGCAGCTCTAAATAAGGTTACGTAATTCGGCTTTTATTCCCAGTAAGGTTCATATTACTCCAACACAGGCTAACCTATTTCCTTATTCCCTTTTTCTTTATAATGGCAAAAGTCAAATCTTGACAAATCATTGAATAAGTCATGTAGATAGCATGCTTAGCAAAGCAAGCATGATGTTACAGACTTTCATCAAACAAAATTGATACAAATTCCGAAAAAATGGCCAAAGATGGAATTTCACTCACTTTAAGCAATTAAAAGTTGTCCACAAAGTGTAATAGTTTGCTGCAAAAAGGCGAAAAATGACAAAGTCATTACCAAATAACTAAAACAGTTTAATAGAAACAGTCAATTGACACCATCTTACACTAAATTTCTTACCTATAAAGAGTTGCTGGCAATATCGACTTGGAAAAATGAAACTTTCTAAGAACATGAAAAGGAAGTCAAATGATATTATCTAAGGACACAATCATAAGTTCCAATGCAAAAGCATGAAAGTATAGAATATTGGACCTCAAGTAAGGATGATTACTGAACGGAACTGTTTAAAAAAACCTTGACAACCTCTTAATCATGACTTCACTGGAATTTTAGGGAATACTTTAATAAGAGGCAAAATTTTCCACACTCCATTTCTCAAACAGCTCTGAAATACAGATAAAGATAATAGAAAATTACAATTGAAAATTTAATCAAGAGGAAAAAAGTATACATCGAACAGGAATGGAGAAACAAGCAGATTTCAGAGAGAAAGAAGGAAAAACAAGAATAGAAGGGAATTTTGAGACAAAAGGCTCAAGTTCGAGAGGATTGAGCTATGAAAAATTTTCAGATGGGAATTGATTAGTCTTCTCAGTGTTGAACCCAAGAAAAAGAATGACTGAATAACAAAGACTTCATGCCTTAGTACAAAGATTTCTAGCCTCGAAGACTTAAAATGGGGTTCTTGAGGCCTAAGTGAACACTTATAATCCAAAATAATAATCTCTGTCCCTTGGGTATGGCGAAACCTTCAAGATTTTAATCCAATTTTAATTTAAGAAAAAAAAAGCCACTGAGATGTCTAAGTGAAACACAAGAAAAAGAACGATGAATAAGCATACCTGTTAACACTAGCTATTACTTCTCGAAGGAGTGCAGAAGAGAGGTTTACCAAATGCAGTGTTTGAAGAAGTACCTAAATCCACAAACAAAACCACATAAAAGTTTTTGTTGACCTTGGTTGATCAGTCCTTGGTTTTGATGATTAATAAACCAAAATGTAGATTTGGACTAATGTTTTTATGTGAGAAATTTGTTAGAACAGGTCTTTGATCCAAAAGAGAATCGAAAAGATTTGAATTAAAGGGAAGTTAAGAAATATGAAGGTTCGGACGTAGAGGATCGGACGCTCGATAGAGGATCGGTCGTCCGACTGACGACGATACTCTTCGGACGCTTGGATCGGACGCTCATTCATTGCTTCGGCCGTCCGACACAAAAAGAATGAACGTTGAACATTCTGATTTCTATCGGACGCAAGGTTCGGACGCAGAACAAATGGTTCGGACGCACGGTTCGGATGCAGAGCAAATGGTTCGGACATCCGACAGGCCAACGGCTAGTTTCGACAGCATTTAATATTTGACCGTTGGAGAGCCTTTTGGAGCCATTTCTCACATTCTATAAATACCAAAGCACAAGAAGACACGGACTTTTGGCCAACACTAAATACAAGCTTACAAGTGAGATCTTTGAGTAGAAATATTCTTTGTTGGTTGTATAAGGGGTTGGGAAAGTTGGGTTGTGAGGTTGCTCAAGTGAAGGTTCCTCTCCAGAAGGAGTAAAATCTTGGTGAAGGTGAACCTATCACTTGGAGTGGTAAAACCTTGATAAAGGTTGCCTCACTTGTATAAAGTTGTTCTTAATTGAAAGGGTAAGCTTTCAATTGTAACTAGTTGAGGGTTTACTTGGAGAGTAGTAAAATTCCTTTACTCAACCAAAGTATGTTTGGGGTGAGGAAGGAGTGAGCCTTCACTTGTACAAGTTGGTTAGCACTACCATCACTTGAAGAAACTATTTGGTGGATTCAACTCCAAGTTTGGAAGGAGCTTGGGAGTTTGATTGGTTTGAATTTCTTTTACTTTATTGTTACTCTATTTTTGTGCTTTAAAATTGCTTATATTCTTTGTCATTGTATTTACTTGAATACTTGTCTGGTTGAGTATTTTTGGTTGTATTTGGTTGCATCGAGGCTTTCAATTTTGCATTTTGGAAATATAAGCTACTAACAGATGCAAGACTCAACAATTCAGAAATATCCTAGAAGTTGTGTACGAATCAGAATTGTTCACTTTAGTAAAGAAGCATTTTCATGTGAGATTTTAAAGTAAATAAAACAGAATAACAAAACCGCTAAACAAAAATAGGTTACGGCACATAAGTTGCCATCTTCACAGACTATTAAATACAAATTTATACACAATACACATCAAGTAGTCAGGACAACCCATCATTTACAAGCACTAATAGGCCCCTAAAGAATTATAGAATGACAGGTTTGACAAACAAAGTAAGGAAAGGGGAAATGTATAAACAACAGATTATCCCAAAACTATATGCAAGCAAAGGAAAAGAAGAATTTTAAAAGATCCACAATATCATATAAAAAGAAACTGCATTTGATTGTGCAGGGAGCAAACAAAGAATGGAAGGTTGTTAGAAAACAAATTTAAGAAAATAAAATCAAGCTTCTAAATGCAGAAAGAATTCAGTTAAGATTTAAGAATATTATCGAATCAATTTGCCAAGTGGCCAAAAAGAAAGAGACAACACAAAATGTTGTGTTAACGATGCCAGGGAAAAATATGCATTTACATGTGAAAAAAAAAGCATAGATTTCAAGTAAAATGAGAAGGAAAAACCTGGAACAAGAATAGTAAGTTGGTATTAGAAATAAACCGACAAATTAAAATGATACAAATAACTAATTCTGAAAAACAAAATTACAGAACACGGAGAGGCAAGCCAAACCGGGAGGTTCAGAAACCTTCAAGATTTCTCAAGCTAGGGTCAGAGACCTTGTTTCAGGATTTCCTGACTTGTTAGCAATTTTATACCTCAGAAATCATATACCCACCTTCCCTATCATTTAAAACTCCTCAACATTGTACACTTAAAAAAAAAATATATGCTTGTAGTAAGAAACCATTGATAATAAACCCAGCCGGGCCTCGTATGGTTCTACTTTGACCATCAAGTAATATCACTTACTTCAAAATTTTTCAATAGAAAAAAATTATACTCAAAGCAATTTAAACTACCAGTAATTTAAAGCAAATTATACTAACATAAGGATATTTGCAGTAAAACAAAATTCATAGTTGAAACTTAATTAATCAAAAGTGGATTTAACAGATAAAAACGGACACTGAGAGAGAGAGAGAGAGAACCCTTGGGTATGATATTCTGGGAAGCTTTCATTTTTCTCTATTGTAACCTTTCACTCCAAGCCTGCATATTTACCGTCAAATTCGCCTCTTAATTCTTCATTTATACCCTAACAATAACAAATAAACAAATGAAAACACAATAAATCAATTCATACAAATACATAAAACGACACTTCAAATTTTTCTGAAAGATCCTAGATCTCTTGGAGCATATTAGTTAACAAAAAAATACAAGAAAATAGAAAGTGACATTTTTTTCCCATCTCTTTCTCACCAAAAAAAAAAAAAAAAAAACTACAAGTAGTCCTTAGGCAAGAAAAGGGGAAAAGGGGTTTCCTTTCTAAAGAGAAAGAGAGAAAAGTAAAAAACTCTGACTTTTGCTTCTCCAAATAACCCATATAAAACATCAAGACACGAGATGGGGTTCCAAAATTCTAACCATAGGATTTATGCAAAATCTTGACAGTAAGGGCTTCTTTGGATCCCAAACTCTAACGGAAAGCTCTTTAACATATACATTCCAGAGGATTCCACTACCAGTTGCTAAAAAATCAGGTAATAACTTAGGAAGGAAATAGAAAAACAAAAGAGACGCACTTTATAAAAAAGGGAAAAAAGTTACACAAACTCACTCTCATCGAGATGCTGGATGCTAAAAGACACTTCCATTTTTTTGCACCTGCAACATCAAAGATATATACAAATTAATATATAAAAATTTGACTGCTAAACCCCACACAAAAAAAGATCCAAAAGGCTAGAGAGAGAAAGAAGAAGAGATTAGAAACCCAAAAAAAATCCCAACCATCCTCGTTGTTGTTGTTGTGCTCAATCAAAATCGGAAAGAAAAAAAATGAAGAAGAAGATGAGGGGATAATTGAAGAGAAAGATAAGGAAAAGAGGGACGATGATGAAAAAAATGAAAGAGAAAAAAAACTGTTTCTTATTTTTTTCAAGCCAACAAACCTCCAAGCAAAATATGGAACCATTTTTTTTCTTTATCATTTCTTCTGGGTTAGATTAGCTCAGAAGATAAAGGTAAAGAAAACATAAAAATGAAGAGAAGATGAGGGCTTTCTGAAGAAAGAAAAGAAAGAGATGATGATTGAGAGAGGCGATTGACGGAGAGAGAGAGGAAGAAAGTTCTTCTGAAGCATCGAGCCCAATGCGAGAGTCAAATCTCACCAAAAACTCTGATAACAGGTCAATCTGTCCACTGGGTTTCTTCCCCCAACAAAAGAAAGAGAACACGTTAGTGGATGACCAAAGTTGACGCCTAAGCCACATTACCAACACACCCTTGTTAAAACAACAAACCTGTATAGATAGAAGGACGTAAATAGGTGAAGGCCAGAGGGCTACAACCGTAATATTAACTAATCTCCTAGTCCAACGATCCATTACCAAACAACAACTCTACTGTTTGTGACCAAACAAAGAAGCAACCCGGCACCACCAACGTCTGACAAGATCCATATCATCAGCAGCACCAATCACCCGGCGACACACCCGAGGACGACCATGCCCACGTCTGCTACGTTTTGAAAGACACAAAAAAGGAAGAAGGAACAGACGACGTCGTTTGGTTTATCGGGAGAAAGAAGAAAAAGCCCTCAAACAAATACAAGAGGGAGGACAACCAAGTGCCATATCACCTCCAGCCAATTTCCAGTTGCCACATGGGCGGACGACCATCCCAGGTAGTTTAGAAAAAAAAAAAAAAAAACCTACCTGGCAGCACCACCGGCCAATCCTCAGTTGCCACATTGGCGGACGACCATCCTACGAGGCAGGGAGCTTCCCCTCTTTATCTATATGTTTAATTAATAAGCTTTCTCGTTATTAGTAAAAAGTGACAGTTAATGAAAAAAAAAATTTAAAGTGTTATCGTGAACCAATAGTCTATATTTTACATACAAATCAAAACCTGATAAAGTTTGCTATTTCAACGTTTTTTTTTTTTTTTTGTTTTTGGTCCAAAACATACTATCAATCTTTGGTTGTCAAACATGCAAATTTGCTTCGTATTACTAAAGACTAACCTTCAGGCCAAAAAAGGAAAAATGAGGAGCAGAAGTACACATTTTTTTCCCACTTAGCAGCAAGTTCCCCCTTAGATTAGTTATCCCACATCGGTTCTAGGAGGGTTTGGATTGGGTAGTTAAGTCCCTGGATTGGTTTCAAGAATTGCCGACTTTTGGAGTTCAATTTGAGATTAGATTTAATTAATCAACGAAAAAAAATCTAATACTGGAGTTGACAAAAGTACACATTTTTTTCAGGTGCTCTTGTTATGCTGTTATTAGTCACATCAATGACTTAGTCAACTCTAACTGTATACTTGTAGAGCTCAACAAGACCTGATAAAATGAGTAAAAAATAACATGGATGATAAAATCCTTCCCAGACAATACCTACATTCTATTTCCCTAATTTTTTTCAATTACTTTGAATTGACTGCTAAAATATTTGAAATGGCACATGGTTTTTTTTTTTTTTGTTTTGGCAAATCTCCACTACATGACGAATAATAAAACAACTCCCTTACAAAAGAAGTACGGATATAAGTAAAACCTTGCCTATCTAATTATAAAATACCCCTATATTGACTCGATAAATCTGCAACGTTATTAAAAATGAAGCATGAAAAACCTTGCAAAGAGGGCAAAAAATCCGTAGTAGAATTAATTTCTCGATAAACATGGAAAACCTTAGCTGAAAGTCGGCCCAAAAGTGATAAAATCCTCCCAATAGTTATACACAAAGGCCACCTCACCATTTTAAAATTTTGAAAAATAAGCACTAAACCTTGAGAATCCACTCCAACAAGCAATGGAAAAATCCTGCGCAGTAGACATTCTTGCAAACCAAAAATTGAGCCGAGTTTCAGGAGATAAAACATTTCATTCACCAAACTCCTTATAAAAAGCAAACGCAAATTCTCTATTAATTCCATGAACAATACCACCCTAAAGCTATCCCCTCTCTAAGACTCACATCCGTATTCAATTTCCAAAATCCAGCCGGCGGAGACTGCCATTGAAGTGAAATACAACAGCTTTTTAGGTGAGGCTCAACACGAAACCATGAAGCTAACAATGTCTGCCCATCCACATCAATTTGACTGGCATCAATAAATGTAGACGCTCCCCCAACACAGAAAAGAACCGATTAATATTAAATACAATCTATGGGACAAAAAAGGCTAATTCCTGATATCCACATTCATTCTCGACAATCCACAAAAACCAAAGAATGACAATTGGAATCAAACAACATACATGATCTGATTTACCAGGTTTCAATGAAAAACACCAATACCTAAAGAGCCGATGAAATACAAGTAACCCCATAGAACTCCATCCCAACTAACCTTGAATAATGCTGCCATCCTTGAAGAACCAACTCACCTTCAAAGAATATATGTCTTAAAGTTTCACAAGATTCGCAAGAGCCACATTTAGAGACCAAATAAAATCCTCTAGATGCTAACACATCATCCGTGGGCAAAACCTTATGAAAAACTCTCCAAGCCAAAAAGGACATCTTCAAAGGGTTTAATGGGTTCCAAATAATCTCGGAAACCATGGATACACTCCTTCTCATCCTTACAGCATCATAAGCCGAGGAAAATGAGAAATTCCCATCATCTGATAAATTCCAAACAAGCTGATCATTCTCAGACAACTTCGGCAGAATGTCTTATACTGCAGCAACTAGAATCGGAGGTAGCCATTCCTTAAGCGAGTCAAATTCCATGAAGCATCTAGAAGAATAAATTCAGCAACCCTAAAGAAAAAGGGTTATCCAACCCACATAAAATTGTAGCGGCTCTTCAGATACCCATTTGTCTCTCCAAAAATCAATCATGCCTTGACCAATATTCCAAAAAATAGGCTTCTCAGCTCTAATCTGAGTACAAAGCAACCTGCATCAAACTGGAGATCCTACAGTTGAAAAATTAGACATTGGATGAGCATGTTTAATGTATTTATGATGCATAAAGCCAGCCCACAACGAATCATTTGCACACAATTTCCACCATAATTTCATTGCAAATGCTTCTGACACAACATCCAGAGCTTTAAAATTTAAACACCTTCTTCTAAAGGAAAACAAAGAGCCTCCATGAATGCCAATGCAATCGACGCTCACCCCGACAATCACATAGAAAATGATTAAATCACCAACCTATATGCTGAAGAACAGACTTAGGGGCTGCACAACTTGTAACAAATATTAAAGCAGTGAATTTCAAACATGCCGTAACAAAATAATTTTATCCCCAAGGATAGGAACTTCGTACTCCAACCAAAATCCTTGCACGAATTTGACAAAAAAGACCATCAAATAACACCTTTTGTTACGTTCATTGGACAAAGGAGCCCCAATATATTTTATAGGAAGCTTTGGCCTCTTAAATTGAAATATACCTTCACCAAACTACACTGAGTTGCTATAGCATGCTTAGAACAAAGATACGAGCTCTTCTCAACATTACTCGACTCAAAACACACTGATAAAAACTCAACAAATCCCAAATTCCCTAAGACAATGCCTAGACACCTTTGTAAAATTAACCAGATCATCAGCAAATGTCAGGTAAGGAATCCTACCACCCAAGTAGTGAAAAACCAATTATTTGAATCAAGCACCTCATAAAGACCCCAACCCAAATATTCTACAACCAAATGAAAAGGGTTAGAGACAAGTAATCTACTTGATGAATCCATATAGGATTTCAAATATCCCATCTACTTCCCATTAACTATCACAGAAATCAACTATTAGAAAAGGTTCCGAAGAACAAATCAACAACTTTTTCAAAAAATAGAAAGCCCTCGACATCTGAAGTAAAAACTCCAATTAACTCTATCGTATGCCTTCTCCATGTCCAATTTAATAATAAGATTAGGCTCCCTCAAATTTTTATCCAATTTTGAAACAAGCTCCTGAGCCAGCAAAATATTATCAAAGATATTTCTACTCGGAACAAACCTAGACTGGTATGGAGATATTAGATCATGCAAAATACAATTAATCCGAAATGCAAGAATTTTGGACATGAGTTCAGAGTTGACATTACATAAACTTATGGGCCATAAATCTTTCCACTCTACAGCCCCTTGCTTCTTGGGAATTAACACTATAGCCATATTGTAAATCCACGTGGCTGCTCCATTCCTTTAAAAAACTCCTCGACAAAAATAAAAGATCTTGCTTGATAATAGAATAGTAGTGCTGATAAAAAGTGACCGAAAAACTATCAAGCCCTACAATAGAATCTCTATCCATCTCAAACACATCCTTGTGAACCTCCTCCTCCATATGTAAAGCAGATAATAGCTCATTCGACACATTTTGTACCTTCAAAAACTGAAAAGGAATCTAGTCAATCCACTCCACCTCTGGATCATACCCGAATAGTTGGGAAAAATACTAGACAGCAGAATCCTTAATTGCTGAAGCATCTTCCAACCATGCATTACCTTGACGAATATGAGCAATATAGTTCTGACTCCTTTTCTGTTCACCTTTACATGAAAAAATGCAGTATTAGCATCTCCAACCTACAACCATTTAACTGAAGACTTTTGCCGCCAAAACTCAGTCTCAATAGCCAATTCCCTAGAATGCCTAGGCATCACTTCATTAAGCTCAATCTTAGATTCAATGGATTGTGAATTATCATACACCAACTGCAGCAACATTGCATCTTGCGCTTGATGCATATTCTGATTAATATTACCAAACTCATTATAATTCCATTGCTTAAGACACTTCCTTGATCTCATCAATTTCTGAAAAAATGCTTGCATACCCACTGCTTGCATCGGCTATTCCCAAGAGTCTTTAACTACATCTAAAAAATTCCTATGCCTCGTCCAAACATTTAAAAAATGAAAACAACTCCTAGGCCGCAAACCTTCATTACATTTAATTAATAAAAGGCAATGATCAGAACAGCCTCTAGCCAAATGTGATACATGAGAAGATGTAAAAACTGCATCCACACGCATTAACTAACACTCAATCAAGACGCTGCCAAAGATGGCCATTCGTCCAAGTATAAACTGACACATCAAAATCTAAAGTAACCAAACTAGCACCTCGAATGGCATTATTAAATTCCTCTATCTCACCTAACCTTGGTCTAGAACCTCCCAAACGTTCATCGACTGAAGCCAGCATATTCAAATCCCCTGCCGCCATCCAAGACCCGTGAACCAATTCTGCTATAGACTCCAAGGCAGCCTATAACAACCTCCTACCAACCCTTGAGTACTTAGCATACACAGTAGACAAAAACACCGCCTCAGCTGAACCCAAAGATATGGAAATATGAATTAACTGATTGGCCAAAGTAACAAAAGAATAATCAAAATCTACAGACTGAAAAACCCATATTTTTCCACCAATGAACAATCTACCATAATCAAACCCGAGTAGCAATTGATCCCTTTGCAAATGTTGATCATTCGTGATAGGTTCAATCACAACCAATAATTGAATTCGATTATAAATACACAATTCCTTCAAATAATGTGCAAAATCAACTTGAGATATACATCTTATATTCCATACCAAAAAATTGACTGGTAGCGACATTAAATATTAGAAAAATAAGCCTTTACTCCTTGAGATGACGAACCTTTAGGTGGTCGACCATGCTTTTTTTTTCCCTTCACTTGTTCTAATGCCACACTGGTATCCTGCATTAACTACTCCTCAAACTTAGACGAAGTCTTAGCGAAGGATGGATTCAACTGCGGCATCTCCAGTCTCTTTAGCAATTGTTGAGATAAGAGCAACAGATCATCCCTATAAACTTCAATAGCCACGATGTTGCTACCCAAATTACACCATCTCAAGGACTTAGAAACCTGTCTAGCCAGTTTATCCCTCATGAGGAAGAGGTGGGGAACGGAGGGGAAGGAAGGGAGGAGAGGTGGAAGGAGAGAAAAGGAGGAGGAGAGGGAGGAGGAGGAAGGACGGGAAGAAGGGAGGAGGGAGAGGGGTGGGGTGGCAGTGGCAATGGAGTGGAAGAGGAAGAGGGAAGAGGGAAGAGGGAAGAGGAGAGGGTGGTGGGTGGTAACTTTTTTTTTAGTTTAAAAATATACCTCAATAAAATTTTTAATTTTAAAAACACCCTAACAAACAACCATAGTGAAAGCACCTTCAACATATCTAAACCATACGAAGTGTCTATTTTCACATATTTCGCCTTAAAATTCAAAATATTCTTAAATTCCCTATGAATAATAAATTAAAGTATTTTAGACAAACAAAAAAAGACAGCACTTGACTAACAAAAATATGTAGAATTTTTTATTCAAAATGTATTACGTAGTCAAATATGCTAGTCAGAAACTTAGATAAATACCAAATTTAACTAACGTGAATTTATTAGGGACATAAAATTATATTTTTAAAAGTAAGAGATAACAAATTTATTTTATAAAAATATGAGAAACTTTTTAAACGATTTTTCCTATACTTTTTTCTTTATGCCTCTTTCTTCTTCAAAGATTTTTTAATAGCTTCCAAGATTTTTATTAAACACTAACGATTTGTTTATGTTTTGTTTTCCTAAACAAATTATATTAATATTATTGTTCCTCCACAAATCATTGAGTTTGCATTTTGGTTTGAAGTACTTGATTCTGAGTTGAGTCGAAAGGTCACAGTTCAACTCTTATATGTTATGAGTAGGGATGGCAATGGGACGGGGTAGGGCGGGGAAATAACTCCCCTATCCCCCGTCCCATTGTCAAATAACTCCCCCCGCCCCTTGCCCCCCACCTCCCACCCCGTTTGCCCCGCGGTCTCCCGCAGGGAAAAAAAATCAAATCTTAAGAAATAGATTAAAGTACATAGATTCAGGGCATAACAAGAATAACACAGCAAGCTTAAAGTTAGGAAACAGATTTATCCTCGCATTAGGAATTGCCACAGTAGTTCTGGTCTATCCCAGCATTTAAATCAAATCAAATCAATAATTTCCTGCACAAGACAGAACCCATTTTCATAATTATACTCTAGTTCCAAGCTAACAAACACCCCTTTTTTTTTAGTTCATAGCAAAGAACCCAACCCAACAAACCCTTTGCATAGAATACCGAAACAAAAGCAGGAAGATTCTAACCTCCAAGCAAAAAGAAAGAAAAAAAATTTAATCTTACCTGGTTGAGGAAAACTAAAAGCTGATAAGCTAAAGAAGTGGCGGCAACTCCTGAGTCAGGGTAAGTGATTATCCCTAGCTTGCAATTGCTCGACCATTAAAAATAAAAAATAAAAACCAAGGCCGCTCATCATCTTATGGCCTAGCCGTGCGTGCCACAGAACGCAAGACGGCTGACTCTGCTTCGCGTACTGGGTGCATGTATGAAGAACGCAAAAAAAAGAGGGTGGAAGGTCCGGCCTATGCGGCAACCGGCAGATAACGTGAAGGTGCAGCTCTAAGAAATTTAGGGTTGTTTGTGTGTGTGTCTATATATATATATATATATATATATATATATATATATATATATATATATATATATTTTTTTTTTTTTTGTTTTTTTTTTTTGCGGGGATGGGACGGGTGTATGCTGCTCCATCTCCCGTCCCGTTTTAAGATGGGGGTGTATATTTGCCTCCACCTCTGCCCCGCCCTGCCCCATTCCCCGCCCTATTGGTATCCCCGCGGGTACCCGCACCCGTTTCATCCCTAGTTATGAGTCATTAGTTAGAATAGTATTTGAGGGATGCTAAATCTTGTGGTAGAAATAAAAAAGCATAGCCTAAGCAAATATCAAGAAATGTATAAAACAATAAACTTGGCTACAAACTCAAATCAATATAAGCAATTATTAACTACAAATTACAATTCAACATGATTTATAATGCAACAAACACAAAATCAATTCACAAATCAATCAACTTATTAGCAAGGCAAACAACTATAGAAGATAAGCATGCTATAAATGCAGCAATTGCAGTAGTTTTTAAGTTACATGAAAGTAAGGATTGGATGGATTTGCCAAACAATTCAAACAATACAAACCACGTTAAAAATGAAGCAATTGCAGTAGTATTTTTACTAATCTTATTCCAAACACCCGTTGCAAAACTTCTCCTCACAATTGCTCCAACCCTTTTCCAAGAAACCAGACCATTTAAATTATACACAGTAACCAAATCCTTTGTGGACTTTCTTCATTTAGAGTAAGGACTCTTTCCACTAAAAAATCTTACTAGTTAAACATTCAACGTAGCAGCAATTTGAATCCAATATGAACTGGAAATTTTTCTCACAAAAGTAAACCAAATCTGGAATGAAGACAAAGCAAACCACACTATCAAAATTAAAAAAAAAAAAAGGAAAACTCACCTCAAACTGAACCACCAAGAATAGTTGTGTTGGAGAACCATTCTCAAACTCAAGGGACAATAGCAATACAAATAACCATTGAACGGAAGGCAAAATGAACAAAACAAAAGAATTTGAAGTAGAGGACATTCGAAGTGGTGAAGGTGAGAGATGCTTAGATATAAATTTCTTTCTTAATCACGTTCTCCTCACCTTAATTGCGATAAAAAAACGGGCAGTTGGATGTCCATCAAAGATGACGTTATGTTTCTTGAATGTAATAATTGACACTTACACTACTAATCAATGTCTCCTAAAGGACATTCAAGTAATTCCACGACACATAAACTAGTAGAGGTTGTACCCGCTACACAAAAGATGACCAAATAATTTCATATTTCTAAAAAACCAAACCTTCAACAAAAAGATAGGCCTGTCAACGGGTCGGGTCTAGACCCGGATCCGGACCGGATCCGTGAAATTATTGCGGGTATGGGTAGGGATTTAATTCCGTTTTCCGGATCCGGATCCGGATCCGTTTTGTCAAACAAAAAACGGGTCGGATACGGAATATAGTATTCCGGCCCGTATTAGACCCGGATCCGGATATAAATGAATTAATAATTTTAAATATGTATATTTATCAATATAATTTGATTAGAGTGATGTATTTTAATAAAGTTAATTTGATTTCTTTTCTTATTTGGTTTTTTCTTTGCATTAGTTAAAAATTAGTTTACAAAATATATTTTTTCATTTTTATTAGAAATTATAAATTTTGCTAAATTTGTTCGGGTAGACCCGAATCCGGATCCGGGACCCGCCGGACCCGCCGGATCCGGATCCGGAACATAGGATAAAAGACCCGTCGGGTAAACGGGTCGGGTCCGGGTCCGGCATAGTAATTCGGGTCCAGGTCCGGAATAATGAATTCCGGCCCGAACCCGGCCCGTTGACAGCCCTACAAAAAGACCACTCCATCTGGAAAAATATAAGGCCACTTCTATAAATATAGTAAAACACACGCTGCATTAAATAGTACCCAACACTATAACTTCACTCCAAATAATCTCGTATTTTCAAGATGCCCCATCCATGTGATTGAAATTTAAAGACGATTTTTGTCCTAAACTATTCAGTATAAGGATACAGCTTGCTCTGCACCCATAAAAAGTACTTATAGTACTCATCTACATAATTCTTATCCCCAACTAACCCACAAATCTAACTTCTCCACTATTTTCTCAACGTAAAAGTAAGCACGTGGAGTTTTCATACTGTAATAAACAGGTTTGATAAATAAAATGAAATTGCAAAATAAAGTTCCCATCTAAAAGCTTGGTGTGCACACCCACCAACAACCCCATGAAGACATGGCCACCAACGCAACTTCGCCCACTGAACACTCTATCCACCTAATTGTTAAGGAATTGAAAACAATTTTAGTTAAATCAAAACCTAAAGACTAATATGAGATTAAGACCCCTAGCAGTCAATGGTTTTTCTACTAATGTTTTGCAATTCTAAATTTTGCCTTTTTAACACTACAAGCAATTTGCTTAGCATGAATCTTTCAACCATTTTTCTAATTTAGTTTATCTTTTAAATGTTTTCAGCAAAATTCTCACAGCTTTAGAGAAATTTTGAGCTCATAAGATGTGTGATGTGTATTCTTAATTTGTTTTTCTAAATATATAAGAATTAAAATTATCATATTATTAACGTTTCCTATAAAAATTTCTTATCTTTCAACATTTATGTATAACCCCACCAGAGGTTTTTGGTTGTTTGCCAAATATTGTACCAAATTCATGGATCAATTGATCTTCCTTTTTTTTTAGTTTCTTTTGTAGGATACATATCTATTACATTGAAATGATGAAATTATCTGTACAATCTATGATCTCTGACTCTCTTATCTAACTTGATTGGTTTCATTAGTTTATAATTGTTTAAAGACACTTAATGTAGTGAAAATTATTAAAAAGAACAAGGAATTAATGAATTAAAAAAATTAACAAATAATTGAAAGAATATTGTTATGGCAAATTGTTATTGCATGAAATGATAATTCTAGAATTGTAAATAGTTATAAGTGAAAGACATTAAGCGATAGGAACTTTTTTGTCATATTCGTGGTTAAGGCGTGGATTTAAGATGGGAGCGTGTGGGTTTAGCTCCTCCCTTTTAGTTTTTGAAATGGAGTTATTCCTTCAAGAAACTTTGAGACAGTCTCATTGTTCTCTTAAATGTAGCCCTAAAATCAAGCCAAACTGATGCAACGGAGAGGGATGGAATAGAAAGGTGATAATGGGTGAAGGACATAGATGAGAGGAGAGAGGAGCTGTTTTGGTTCTCCTATGACAAGAAGGCTGGTAGGGAGGTGACGAAACTTTTCCTTGTTCCAAATTTTAAAAACTTAAATATTCTATTTTTTCACAAATATATAAATTGTTTATCGAGCGTAAGAGATATTAGGTATTAATTCCAAAAAGAAAGACGATCAACTACCGATGCTATTTGAACTTTTTTATTTTTTAAACTATCACAAATACAATAA